CTTATTTCTCAAGCTATAGGATGAGTAAGCAGAGAAAAGATAAGCACAATTCCTCATAATATAGAAAGTTATCTCATGAAATAAGGATGCTTTGTATCTAACAATTTTCAAATCAATATATTTAGGCACAAAACACTACAATCAAAAAATTAGTAATTTCAGATTTGGTGATCTGTTTATTCACGAATTATTTAGTATAAGAGGATTGCTTGATCTTCACTAGCAATTGTAAATAAAAATTTTAGCTTAAGGGTATCGAAAAAATAATTAATATAGTGAATGAAACCTTATAATGTTTCAAGGTATTTTATATATTCAAATGTAAAAATTATATGAATCTAGACAATTTTCATAATTACAGTCTTCAATATTAGTCAATATCACATTTTTAATTTTTTTACTAAAGATTATATTTTTATTTAATAAATATCTATAAATTTCTGAATTGGATATTTATTATTATTAAAAAGAAAAAAATTATTATAGTAATTGTTGTCTTTGTATTGGTTCATTGAGTGGGCTAGACTCCATGATTCTGATTGCATTCAAGATGTATATTTTCTTCAATATGATCTAATTTATTAAATTCGATTTTAGTTCAAGCATTATCATTCTTTTTTCAGTTTCCTCATGAAATATTCCTCTTGCTATAAATTTCTTGTATGCAATGATACTCTAATCACCAAAAGCTAATGTGGTAATTCCATCTGATAAAATCTATCTCTTAGTATCTAAAGAGCTAAGACCAACTTTAGATGAATGAAGAAGTCTGATAATATAGTCTTTACTTTCTAATCTATACATTGTTACTATACATTTTTTTCGAGATTTTAAACAATCTTCATACATATCATGAGTAAGGTTCTTTTTGACTACTACCTTTTATACCTCTTTAGCTCTTCGATCTGTTTTCTCATTAGCAAGAATATAATTATAGAGCTTAGGTCTTGGTTCGCAAAATTTCTATATAGCAGTACTACAACTTTCATCCTTAAACTTACCAGAAACTTTTTTATTCAAAATAATTTTTTCTTTTCTAAGAGCTTTGTATATAGGATGTTCTAGCTTTTAATTGCTAAAATTAAAATGTTCATGCATCTCTGCCATATCTTTATAAATATTCTCAGTTTGAATAAGTAATATAAGAGAATTAGTATTAGTATATACTACATCAACATTATCTCTATATCGTTTTTTATAATATTATAATAGAAATTATACATAGTAATCTTACTTTCATTAAGGACAGACATACTAATAAAGATAGATTTACTAAGTTTAGCTTTTGATTGATGATGAGAAATACCTACTAAATTCTCTGCTAAAATTCTATGCGACTTATAACTGAGATCAGCTACTAATTTTTTAAACTTTTTCGATTCTCCTTCTGGTCTAACAAAATCTATTCTTTGATATTTGCATATATTTTCTACAGTCTTTCTATAGTTTGCATTACCAAGGAGCTTATACATATTTTTCTCAAAATCATTTTTAGCTAAAGCACGAGATCTTGCCAATTTTTTCATAAAAGGCTTCATCTATAGGCTTTGGTTAAATTCTATAGCTCGGTAAATTTTGGTAAGTACCATTCTCTGCTTTATATAAAATTGTAATACTCGATAATAAACTATATACTTTTTCTTATTATTGAGATTTGGAACAAGTTTCTTAGTCTTTGTATAATGTTTTAAATTATTAATAATCTCTTGTCTACACTTACTCATTTTCTCTTTAAAAATCTTAATATTTTCAGGAGCTAAAGGATATGAAGTATAAGCTTTGTGTAATTTATATGAATAGTCAAGATCAACTTCCAAAATATAGCTTTTTTCTGTATTATCAGGGATCTTTACTTGGTAATTTTATTAAAAAGGTCTGGAGTTTTATCTGGCATTATCCATCTATGTTTTCCTGTTGGTATAGATTGCATTATTGCTTTAGTATATAATGTATTGGCATCAATATATAATAGCCAAGTATAGAGTTTTTTCATAGCTTCTTCTAACTCTGGAACAAAATTAGAACATTGTGGGTTATTAGCTTTAACTTGACAATTATTTACCTTTAAAATACCTTCTCAGATACCTTTCTTACAGAAGAGGTACATATTATCATCAATAAATAGCTCAATCTCTTGTTCTGTAGTTTTATATAAAGCATCTTCTGCAAATAAAAGGAGAGAAACATAGTGAGCAATATCTAATCCAAATTTACCTTTCATTAATTTGAAAAATCTTTCTAAACAATCTGCTAATAATAGTACATCAAAATTAAGATAAAAGTTATGATAATCTCTGAATATTTTCATATCAAAAGATTTCTATACCTCTTGTGCTATTTTATAGGCTTTTTCTGAGCATTTAGAGCCTCAATAGAAGAAAGAGAAGTAGCATCCATTTTTTCTGGTGTATTAAACCAATCATATAGGAAAGGAGCTTTATGAAATACTAAGTTATCCCTTTTTTTTAGTCTATTTTCTCTAGTTATGGGGAATCTCTCTGGATTATACATGCTACTGAAATAGGTTTTCAAAAAACCCCTATTTCATCTCTATTAGAGCAATTTAAAATTTTTTATATACAATAGCAAATCTAATTTAGGTAGTTATGTTTCTTATAATTTTGTTTCTTCAAAAAAAATGTCAAAAATTTTCATCTTTTAAATAAAATAGATCAAAAACAATTTTGTTTTAAATTTTAATTTTGTACTCTAAAACCTAAAATAATTTTGTCAGCATGTATACTTTGGATGAAAACATCTATATGAGTCAATTTGATAAAGATAACTGAGCTTTTTACATAGTAAGTTTAAAATTTTCTATCTTTATTTACTTCCTCTTTATATAGTTCAGCTCCTAAGTTAGATATATGAGAATTAAGAGATCTAGACATAAGTTGTAAAGAATCTATATATCTTTGATTTTTAATATTAAAAATGAGATAACTTTCTATATTATGAGGAATTGTGCTTATCTTTTCTCTGCTTACTCATCCTATAGCTTGAGAAATAAG